GGCCCCATAAAACTCTGTTTCCATGTATGGTTAATACAACTAATCCTTATTTGTGCACATTAATTATGTTTTTGATAAAAATCCTTTGGCTAAAATGCCATCAGAACGCTGATAAATAGAGAGGAAAAAGGGACAAGAAGAGAGGGACAAAACCTAGAACAGATAATGGATGTCTATTAACATTTCTCTATCTGTAGAATGGGTCTGTTTTATGGGTTTTCTTCTCAGGGGGCCCCCTGCCTGTCTTTGCCTAGGGCCCCAAATTTCCTAAATCGGCCCCTGAGGGTATCAATACTGATTTGATAGAATCTGGGAGAGCGGACCATGTTCAACCATCCATTTTCTTTAACCTTATCCCTCAGTGGGATCAGGAGGTGCTGGTGCATATCTCTAGCCACGTTCTGGGTGAGAGGTGGGATCATCCTGGACAGGTCACCAGTCTGTCGCAGTATGTTCAACCAGCTTAAAAGTAATCGGTAATCAGATTTATTATTTGCACTTTTACTAAGTGAACTTTCTAACTCCCTTAAATCTGAAATTCCAATGCCAAAATTGTTTAAATCTTTTATCTTTGGACCCCCTGCAGAGTGACGTCACACCTGCAAGATCCTATCCTTACCTTCCTGCTAGATTGCAAAAAGCAGCTTGCTCATGAGTTGTCAACATAACACGCTAAATCTTAAATGTACGTGTACATATAAAAGAAAAAGGGGCGCAGTGCTTGCTACTGAATGGCAACACTATCAAAGTCAGGAAAAAGTTTTAAGTAAAGCCGGGATTAAAACAGTAGCTACAAGAAGCTTCAAATAAAAGGTGTTCTTTATGTTCAACCTAAACACCAACTCCAATAGACCATCAGTAGAGCAGGTGTTTAAAGTAATCAATCACTGCTGCGAAAGCTTATAGCAGTGAAAGCTAATATACCACAGCCATCACTTAATAAACGCAAAATAAACAACCCTCTAAAAACGGAAAACTGTAATGGACTGAAAGTCCTGTTTTTTATTTGGGAAATTATTTGCGTGTGTTTTAGTATAATTCTGATATATTGGCGCTGTTGTCTGTTTCTATGGCAACGATACTGAATGTAGTGTAGCTTAGAGACCTGCATGGGTCGAGTTTTACCAACCCGCACCCGCCCGAACCCGTTAGGATGACTACCGAACCCGACCCGTCACCCGCGGATATCTTCAATTCAAATGTTATGGGGAGAGGGCGGAGGGGGGTGATGGGGAGAAAGCGAGAGGCAACAGATTCTTTTTTCTGAGTTTTTTTGTCGGGGTTTGTGGACGGTGAGCAGCGGGAGAACTTTTTTCTGTCTGAGGAGCGGCATGAATGGGGTTTTAATCAGATATACACAGCATCGAAAGCAAAATACGTGTACAAAATATTGGTGGGGACATGTCCACACCAGTCCTTAAGGAAGTTACGCCTATGATTGTTCAGATTAACTTGTCTTCTTTATGGCTTTTATTCGGTGCTTTACTGCATTTGTTTTGGGAAAATATGAGGAAAAAATAAATACAGAAAAAAAATATATATTTTTTAAAATCGCAAAATAATTATAGGGTGGCTAATGCCAAAGAAAGGGTGACTGAAGCCACCCTTAAATAGGTCTAACGACGCTTATGGCCTTACTCATCATTTTGATTATTTATCCAATCATGAAATGTTATTATTTATAGTATACTTAATATTTAAATCATGTTTTAGACCAGGAGTTCCCAAAGTGGAGGTCAAGACATAAATGACTCATGAACAAAGTAGATGCAACATTTATTTATTATAGAGAACTTTAAATACAGCATTACATTGAAAAACACAATTACTCCCCCCCGCTTTTTTATTGCCATTACACAGTCACAATTACAGACCTTTTGCTCAGGGAGCCAGAGTGGCAGTTTGTGGGATTGGGACTTGAACTCAGAACCTCTAGATGCCAAGCTCTATGCCCTAATAACTAGGACACCATGGCCCTAAACAGCAGGCTGACAGGAAAGGTGCTACCAGAGGGCGGAGGAGAGACCCCCTGCAATGAAGAGGTCTTCATTGCTGGGACTATTTTTTTATGTAAATAGCTTGTAGCACTTTAAAGGGAGCTTTGCACTTTATTTAAAACCAGCTTGGTTAGCACTAGGACACTTTATTTACCACTAGGGTTGTCAAAAGTATCGATACTCAAAAACGTATCGATACTGAAACGTATCCGGATACAATAGTCGTTTTTAAAAGTATCAATACAGTGCCACCACCAGTGGCACCTAAGCAGTCATTCATCTAAAGTGCAGAATAGTGGAAAATGCACTTTCTGAACACTGTGTGATTGAATAATTCTGTGCACTTTTCAGTTTCAGACTTTTTTTTTGTAAGAGGTGCAGCTGTTGGAAAGGTTACTGTTTAGATTAGATTAGATTAGATTCGATTCAACTTTACTGTCATTACACAGGTACAGGCACAAGGCAACAAAATGCAGTTTAGATCTAACCAGAAGTGCAATAGCAGCAAGTGTAGGATAAATAATGGTTTCATAAATACAGGACATGGGTTCTACTGAATAAATATAGAGATGAATACCATTATAAACACAATCTTACTAATAGATGAATATAATACATACATATCTAGTGTTATGAACTAAATTTACAGCTGGATATGTACCGAATATAATATACAGGTGGATATTACTATAAAAAGGGTTTTTACAGTTATTTACAATAGCATATATACAGTTGGGTTTTACTATAAAATGAATAAATAAAGTTTGGACAGAAGCTATCTAAATTAAAGTGCAGTGGAAGGTAATTGCATATTACAGTTAAATTACGTTATTGCAGATGTAAATGTAAACAACTGGTGCTGTGAATAAACAGTCGGCAGTGCAAATCGATATTCAGTCAAAGTGAGTAGTGCAAGATGCATGTTTAGAAACTTCAGCAAATGTTAGTGTAAAGTCTGGTGGAGAAGAAGTGTTGTGATGCTAGGAAAGTGACTTACCTGTATTTTCTGTGTTCTCTCCAGGGTGTTTGGACACATGCTTCCCTGTTGGTCCAGACACCAGTTATAGGTTCTGGGAGAAACCATGTAAAATATGGGGGGAGTTGTGCACATAGTTTGTGGGATTTCTATGGCGTTACCCCCAGATTCCACATACTCCGTCAGCGCTCCGCTCCGCTCCGCCCCGCTGACGTACGTCGTGCGGAGCGCTTGTCTTTCATGGAAATCAATGAAAGCTGTTCCACATCTACCGCTACTCCTCCGCACGTCTCCGTCCACGTACGTCTTCTCCGTCCGTCACCGACAAATTACGGAGCCGAGCTATTTTTTGCTCCGCTCCGGTCCGGCCAGGTCAAGATCCGCAATTGCAATCGCACCAAACAGGAAAAAGAACATCGACAAATTCCGGTTCGTCAAATTAAAATATAGTAGCAACAGATCGGTGACTAGAAATTATAGCACAATTCTTATAAATATCTAAAAAAAAAAAAAAAAAAACTAACACCGTTTATTTAAATGATTGGATCCAAACTATTGGTTATTCACCAACGAGGAAGCAGATTTCTCATCTCCATCAAAATATTTATTTTATACCGAGGGACTTAAAGTTTAATCAAATCCATTCAAAAGAAACTTCTTATTACAGGAATGAAAAGAGATGCTGAGTTGTAGAGAACAAGTTCATTAAAAAAAAAGCAGTTTTGAATTATCCTTATCTCTGTTACAAAAATCTACTAAAATATATATATATATATATTTGGGCAGAAACTGAACATATGCTGGATGATGGTGGGATTTTTTTAATATCTCATATTAAATTAAGCGCTCACAGGGTTCATACAGGAATGAGTGACTCTAATTTAATGATATTTTAATGCTATTAGAAATTATTTTAATGCCATCAACAAGAACCATGTACACAAGTTATTAGTGTACATGAAATATGAAGGAGCTGTAAGCAGAGTTCCATGACTCCTGTATGTATGTAAACACACACACACACACATATATATATATATATATATATATATATATATATATATATATATATATATATATATATATATATATATATATATATATATATATATATATATATATATATATATATATATATATATACGTATATATATTCTCTAGCTTTTTCTCCGCCTCGAGCTTCCTTTCCGAACATACGGCTTTATAAACAGTTCCACGCAAATTAATAGCGATATAATATATCTGACGAAATTGTTTTTAGAAGCATTTTTATTAAAGAATCATAAATGCAACGATAAACATATTTAATTAATTTTAGTGCCAATTAAGGCCTTGATTAAAAAAAGAATTATGAATTGTAATTATTTTTAATGATCCGCGGAAACCCTTGTTCATCTGGCGCATACTCTCTACGATCTCCAAGAAACTCAGAGCGGAGGGGACGGAGCAACAGCGGCGGCTAGGCTTTGCTTTGTGCAGGCGGTCTGGAGCGGAGCGGAGCGCAGACGGAGTATGTGGGATTTCAGGGTTAGGGTGTAAGTTTATATCAGAAAATGTTTATAAAAAATAACGTTAAATGTGTGTGTAGATATTTGATTGAAATGTGTTATTAGATGGAGGTGAGGAAGAGTTAAATTTCATGTCAATGGTTTAGTTCATCAGCTGTGTTTATTTAAGGCAGAGATTGTGTGTTTGATGGAAGCTGAATAAACCCGCTGATACTTACACTTCATTTTTGCTGAACAATTTCATTTTCTGATTGGCTGGTTACACCCCCCTCTCTTTGCCGGAGAAAGGGGGTGTAACCAGCCAATGAACGAACCACACATGGTACGTATAAGAAAATCTTCAGGAGAAAGAGCGGCTAAAAGTTATAATTAATGTTCAGAATGGATAATAATAAAAGTCATTCCCAGGTTTAACATCTTCCAAACCAACATCCACATGGATTCAGAGATGTTCAGTTTTCAAGCTGATCCACCTTCCTCTCTCAGTCTTTATGGAATGAAGAGAAGCAGACACAGAAACAAAGTCATCCCATTTTAATAGTAGTTTGTTTTGAAACATACAGACAGAATGTAAAGAAATTTCACTGAGATTTTAACTCCAAGCCTTCATGAATAAACAGAGAGCCATTAAAAAAGCTCACTGACTGAGGACTGATCAGCCAGACCTCGTGGTCGGGACCATTTCTAGGAAAGGCTTCATGTCAAGCTTTCAATTTCACAGAGCCGTTAGCCGCTAATTTATTGGTACCACTTTAATAAACGATGCTCCCTATAGATGCTAATAAATAACCGTTTATCACTCATTCAACATTTCATTCATGCTAAAAATAATTTTTACAAAAGCCTTTAAGGGTCAGTAACTTCATTCTGAAATCTTGAACAGCTTAGGTTCAATATTTGGCATTAAAACCATCAGTTTGGTCTCTTGCTTACCTTTAATTAATGCATAATAAAGCATTCACAGATTCTATCTACTATTTATTATCTTCTAGAAGGGATCCTTATCGTAAAGTGGAACCAACATTTAACTCGTATCTGAACAGAAGAGGTAAGAAACATTAATAAATGAAAAATAAAAACTCTGGTAAGTAAGTACACCCATTAAAATTTGAAATTATTTTTATGTAACATAATCTAATTTCTCCTCCTAAAAAAATACTTAAGTGCATTAAATGTTTAGGATCCAAAGCAGGAGGATGAGGTGACAAAAGGAGGACATTTTTAAAGGCGGATGCTAAAAAATAATCTCTTATTTTCTTTTAATAGTGAAGTTAATGGTGCCGAGGCCCCTCCTGCGGGCCCGACAGGAATATTGTCCTCCTAGAGTTCCTGTCCTCTGAAGTTTGTCTCTCTGTGTGACATCATTAATGGGTGTAATTACTTCCCTAACTGGGGATCTAAAAGCATGGGCTCTGGTTGATTGGCAGCTTGGTCCAAGCAGTCGGTGAGTTCGTTACACCGGAGGTGGTTTACACCTCCAGGATTTAGCCTCATCCCCCAGCCGAGGGTCCCCTTCTCCCTGGTCTGAAGGTGCAGGAGCCTCCCTGTCCCATCAGAGGGTTGTAGTCTGAAACAGACAGAAAACATTTTTAGCGACACTCGTACAGCCGTCATTATAAATCCAGTTTTAACCGGTTGGTCGCTCTGAGCGTCCGACGGTTCGCTAACACCCAGGAAGGTTTGCAAGTCAATCGCTGCAAAAAATGGAATATAAGCAAATCAATTTTCCCTAAATTGGAGTTTGCTATGAGGACGATATGGGGCAAACTTTGTTCCACTATTGTTACAAACAAAAAAATATATATATATATTTTTTATTAGTAATTTTGAAAAAAAAAATAATCATTTATTCATAAATTAAGCTTAACCCTTTATAGGGCCCTCAGTGAAATACTTTGAAAATCAACATTTCAAACCAATAAAAGTCAGAATTCTGACTTTTTTCTCTTATTAAACTGAAATGAAACTTTTTAAACAATTTAATTTAATAATCAGTAAACAGTTTTTTTTTTTTTCGGTGGCCCTAATCCTCTTCCATAGGGCCCTCAGTGAAATACTTTGAAAATAAAATTTCAAGCCAATAGTGTTACTGGAATCCTGGACAAGAACTTATTATCTTCGTAACATTCAAAAAATCTGGATATTTTGATGGTAAAAATTAATGTCAATGTAATAACAAGAAATATCAACAATATTAAGAAAAATAACAAAAGTTCTTCTATAAGAAATTCATGAAAATCAGATAAAGAAACATTTTTTTTTTTACAACATAACCTTAGAGGCAATAATGCCGATACTGGCACTTTTTCTAGTTTATTAAACCCTAATATAATTGTTAACTAGGCTTATTAATGATACTTTTTAACTTTTCAGTCAGCTTTTTACCTTTTGTTTCTTGACTTTTTATATTTTCAGTTAACTTATTACCCTTTTTTTACTTTAATTAACTTTTTACCTTTTTTTAAATCACTGTATTTTTATTGAATTTTCTTTTCCTTTTGTACATACAGTTTATAAATACAAAGAACTCAATGAGAAAGGAAATTATTATTATTTCAACCGTTGCGTATATTAGCTGCGACATATGAATCAAGATGCTATGACCGGAAAAATGTGATTGACAGATGACCGTTGATATATGATTGGACGAATCTAGGTGTTCAGGCTGACGTATAACTAACTGGCCTGTATAAGAGAACGAAAAAAACCCAACAGATTTTAAGACAAATAAATAGGTTAATAGAAAGAATAGAATAAAATAGAAATTTTCAAAATTTTGGGACAACAGAGTTCACACATATATATATATATATATATATATATATATATTTTTTTTTTTTTTTTTTTTTTTTAAGAATGATTTAAGCCAGAAGCCATATGATTTCCCTACGACTTTAAAGTTTGATTACTGGATTGTATTTTTGTTGTTGTTGTTTTTTTTTCAAAGTTTACAAAACTCAACTAGGTCCATCCATTGTATGGATTGGAGGTGAAACATGGTGGATCAGTGCGACCAGGATTAAATGAAACTGGTGGCAGTTCCAGCTCCGCCTCTGCCCACAGACTGTTTCTACATTATTCTTCAACAAACAAACCCAACCTGACCCGAACGGAGCCTCCAGCAGGGGGAGCTCTGCTCTGACGTACCGTTACTGCGCTTCGGCTTGGGGACGGCGGTGGATGAGCCGGCCTCCTCGCTGCCCTGCGGTCACCACAAAGGAATCAGAAACGTCTGAAAGCAAACAGTGACTGAGCCAAAGTGACTCTGACCTCACCTCTGACAGCTTGTGTCCTTTGCTGCTCCTCCCCTGCGTCATGCTCTCCCAGTCCTCGATCTTCTGCCTCCTCTTCTCCTCCTCTAGCTGTTGACAAACAACCGTTACTGAAACTCTGAAAGCTGTGTCCGCTTCAGCCGCTCTAGGTAATATGTTACTGCTCGGGGCAGTAACATTATTACCAACATTTGCTTTTATTTTACTTTTCATTTATTCTACTTGTAGAAAACAAACGGTTGTTCTTGAATATAAACAGTTTTTTTTTCTGATTTATTTTCACTCAGGTAAAATTTTATCGGTCATTAGAGATGCTAACGCTGCAGATGCTACCGACTCGGCAAACAGAAGCTGCGTGATGTTATCGTTGTCGAGGTAACCACAATGTTTTACATCATGTGGCGACGTTCAGCCAGTCACGTAGCGTAACGACCCTGGTATGCGAAGAACCCGAGCAGATCTGGTACCTACTACACCATGTTTACTTTCTGCTCACCTGTCTCTGCTTCTCTTTAAAGATGGCGGCTTTGGCGTCCAGCTCCTCCTGCATCCTCTGTCGAGCGGCCTCCATGGCCTCCTGCCTTTTCGTCACGAGAGACGCATCTTCAGTAACAACAGGAGAACAAATCGTTATCCAGACCTTTTCTCATTTTTCTGGATGAAAAACTCACATTATTCAGTGACAGAAAAGAAGCTGCAGTGAAACGATGCCATGGTTTTAAAATGTTCCATATTCTGCCAAAGTCATAGAATAATAAGGCACCCCCTCCCCTACTTGTTGCTGTGCACTGTTTGCCAGCAGCCTAAAAGAGGGCCTACTTATTTTGATCTTGTCTACAAATCCAGAATTAAAAACAATAGATGCACGGATGTGAAAATCTGGGCTGATATCTGATATTAATGTCGCTGTTAGGACCAATAACCGATATACACCGCTTCACACCCAGAATCCTTTGCTGCATCACAATCACTGTCACATGACTGATAAACAAAAACAGTAATTCATGGAAATAAATGATCAGTTGTTATCATCAGTGATGAGCAGCAACGATGCGCCGGTGCATGCGTGGAGCCCATAGAGCAAAACACTGTTTCAGTGAGCGTGTCGTTTCTAGAGAGTCATGTGACCGATACAGGAGTTGTTTCTAACAGACTGACTCACTAAACTGTGTTTAAAAACGTTTCTGTCAACATGATGCATCTGTTAAAAACAAATGTTTCATGTTTTGCGGTTTATCATTAAAATTAAAGGTACTAATATAAATATAATTAAAGGTCATTTTGGAGCAGCCTAAAAGGAACAGGAACGTTTCAGCCGCTGCGTTTTTAATTAAATTTTCTCGTTGTGTCATCCTTTTCCTCTCATTTGTCACTCAACTTATCAAAATTGAAGTTCATTTCAAATTGACTCTTGGTTTATTTACTGTTTTTATTGTACTTATTGTTTTAAAATCATGATTTAAAATCCTAGTCCACAGGCATCCTCATTCACATATCCCCCTATATTTTCACATTATATGTTTACATTATTTATTGGCTGCATCTAAAAATATCAAAGATATTTTCAATTTAAACATAGATATGAAATAATACAATATAAACTTTATTAACTTAAATGATATCATTGTACCAGGTCATCAAATCAATTCAGTTTAGTCTGTCCAATAAGCTGCCTGTAGTGCCTTTAAATGTCCAGCAGGTGTCAGTATTCTGAGAGACAGTATCAATGCAGCATTAATACTCATTGGAAAGTTTTGACTCAGTGAATATTAACCAGCAGCTACTTCCATAGATGCTTATGCAAAAGTTAGGAAACGGGTTGTTTGCAAAAATTAGAGATCTGTTCGTTAGACATACAGAGGTTTTCATCTAAAAATGGAAACAGATTGAAAGTTTATACAAGTTAGTATTATAATGCAAGTTAGAACATAGTTTGTTTTCCTTTACTAGTTTAAATAAAGCGTGGCTTCTCAGAGGACCATGACTCCCAGTTACAGGTTAAAATGAACATGTTTTCTTATTGAACAGACAGAATCAGGCTGCAGAGCTTCTACATATCTGGAAATGTTGTTTCTGGCATCATTATATTAGTAAAAAGGTTCATTAATCTTTTTAAACAGAAAAGTAGGGTAAGCTGCAGATTAAAGGTGAAACAGATTTACTGGATTATGAAACATGAAATAAAATATATCTCCAAGTTTACCAGAAGGTTTACAACAAAGGAATATGCTATGCTGTATTTAAAATGAAGCATATCCATATATTTCTGGATGGATGGAATTGAAATTGTACTTCTAGGGATGAATGATTTTGGTTTCGGAATCGGCTGTTATTCCATTTTTTTTTATACATCAACGTTTTTGGGCCGTATATATCTATATTGCACTAAAAGGCATCTTTCTAACTATCTATAAATATCAGTGTATTATTATTCTCTTGTGTTCTCAACAATAGGAAAGCTTATAATAAATATATGTTTGAGAAAATACTAAAATCTGATGAAAGCGTTTGGGTGGAGTAACTGTAGCTCCATTAGCCTCCACCCTTAGAGCTCCCGCACCAACTTTCATCGCAAAGTTACAGCCTTGGTCGAAACGCTTCAAGATGCCTCATTAACCCATCACTAGTTAATATCATCCCTTAGCGCTTAGAAATGACCATCATCGGTGGATATGATATTAAAGCCGATATAAATGGGCCGATACTCATCATCTGAAACGCTTGTATTGCTGCTCCTCCATCTGGTATCTATTGTTAGTGATTGATTTGTTCATTCAATCCTTTCTTTGTTTTCATTAAACTGAGACTCGTGTGACATTTTATAAACAATTGCATTTGAGCTGAAACCAATTATATTGAATTAATCAATCATTGAAATAATCGTCAACTAATTTAATAATCGATTTATCGTTTATTCTCGTAAAGTTACGAGAAAAAATTCCTAAAGTTACGAGAAACAAGTTGTGTTTTGTGACAACTCCTACAAGAAGCACTGCATTCCCTAAGATGAGGAATGTTGAGCATCATGTGAAGTTATACTTCAGTTTGACAAATAAGAAAATATTAAGTCTTATATTAAGTCTTTTAGCACCAGCATCAAATTGGGCAGAATGTCAAAGTGGACTCAGGATGCTGATTGGTGGAGCTGGTCGCCCGTCATCTGCTGGTCGGAGCTCAAAGGATTTTCTATTCTAAATAACAAATATAAACCTTGCACACAGAGTAGGAAATAATGTCCCAATATTTATTATATATTTACCAAGCAGCTCTTTGCATTAATATAAATTCAGATTTATTGTGATGATTAATCTGTTATATATGACATAACCAGAATAAACTGATCATTGTTATGTATGTTATGTATGTATTGCTTGAGATGGTTCAGATGAGCATCGTATTTCCATGAGGACATTTGAACGCATCATCATCAGCCTGACCTGCCATGTTTCAAACCAATAAATGTAAGAGGAGTGTTGCTCTGATGCTGACCTAGCAGAGTGTGAGGGACGGCCTCCTGCTGAGCGGATCTCCTCTTCTTCAGCTGCTGGATGAGCAGGATGAGCGTGAAGGCAGCAGCCAGCAGGTACCAGCCGTACAGGGACAGGAACTCCGCTGCTGTCGGTGGGAGAAGAGGAGGAGACAGGCTTTGTTCGTTAGGTCATTCAGAACCAGGCTGTGGACTTCATGACCAGAACCTAATAAATTAGACTTCAAAAGCAAACATCCGTTTCCTGTGGTTAAAAAGTGAGGAAGCGAAGGCTAACAGCAGCAGCTGCAGGTACCTGTGAAGCCCAGCTGACCCAGGTCCTGGTTCTTCAGGGGGATCCGCTGGGGAACGTTGGCATCATCCACGTCTTCTATCACCACGTCGTCGTCCATTGCCGCCGCTGGTCGCTCACTGTGTTTGTTGAAGTTACAGAAAACACGGCGGCTCTGAGCTCAAAACAGAAACAAGGTCCTTTCTATCCAGAAGATTCACGATGACGTGTTTATCTCCACAGGCGACTCTTCTGTTGACGAATGGAGTCTGCGGTAGCGCCGCCGCCTGGCTAGGAGGAATATTACACCTGAAATACTGAAGCCCGTCACCATAGATATCCATAATAAAGGCTAGATGTATCGTCCGCGCTGCTGGCCAATGGGGGTCGACGTCCGCACGTGGCGGCCATCTTGCCACAGGCAGCTCGCTCATTCGTAACATTGTGTTTTAAAGGCGCATGTACTTAAATAACCATAACTTCCTCAATTGTCTAACTGTTTGGTTTGTTAAACAAAAGTCAGACATGTAGTTATGACACTACACACTTATGAATAATTATAACAATGGGATTTCATTTGAAAAGAACATTGAATAGAACATACAGGTGCAATAAATATACACATGCACAAGGTATTTATGTTAAATCAATATATGCTATTAAAACTCAGTGTACTGAATGGCAACATGATATATAGATATATCTATAGATATCTATATCTATATAGATATCTATCTATATAGATATAGATACCTATATATATATATATATATATATATATATATATATATATATATATATATATATATATATTAGAATATAATATAGTAGTCATTGGACAAATGTTTACACTCTATAGAAGAGATCTATTTAGGAAGCAATGGAAGAGGATGCAGACTGAGAGAAATCTAAAACCCCTCTTTTTAGTTATAAAACATGTGCCATCAAATACTTTGACGAGAAAAAATGACACTTTCCCATGAAGCCACTGATCCTGCATCACCAAAGATTTGATAGAATAAAAGTACCAAGGAATTAGATTTTTGCAATTTCTGGAGGAAAAATAGATAATTATCATATTTTTTTACATAAAAGGTAACTGCAAACCTTTTATTGTCAAACCATCTCATGTTTTTCCAGTAAATGTAGCATAACAATCTTTTGGGATTTTATAATTTAATAAACATTCATCAAATCACAATAGGAAATTAACTGATTGTGTTTCTCAAACACATCTAATGTACATTAAAGGTATAGTGGTAGATTTTTGCAAATTTTTGAAAAGACCTGCCCTCTCCACTTAAAAAAAAAAAAAAAAAATGCACATAAACAACCCTGAACCCAAGGGGGAACAGCTATTAAACGCGTGCGAGAGCGTGCATGAGCCCATTTCTCCTCGTGCACGCTCTGTTTAAAAGTTTGCATCCCTCATACATGCTTACTTTCCAAAAGAAGATTTGCAATTTTTCCACTATGTTAGACTGAAAATAATTGGAAATGGGGTCGAGCACGCAGGACGGCCCAACATAAACATATCACCAGAATGATAAACAATTAGGAGAACCACTGACTTTATGATCCACCCGAAAAAATAAAATCCTCCACTATACCTTTAATATAAGATAACTCTGCTGCAACGTTTGGTTCCCTAAAATTTAACTCTGAATTTGCATTCCTGTTCCTTTTTTTTATATACCTTGAACATCAACTTGTTTTCCAGAGAAAAGAGCAGGTGTGTTGGCTTACAGGTTAAAAATGATATGGGAGGAAAACTTACAGAACACATTCGCTGACAGAACATCCACTCCTAGAGCTATGGAGGGAATTTAGCTCCATTTTTGTTGCAAACAAAATAACAAGATTTGTAAATGGAAATAGAAAAGAATCCAGAAATAAAATGTGGAAAATAAATAATTTTCCCCCCAAAAAATATATATATTTTATTAATTAATCTTTCATTATTTTTACATATTTTATATTTTTAAATTGTCTTTCTTAGACTGAGTTTTTAAACATTTCATTCTCTCAGCCGAATAGAAATGCTCGCTCTTGATGCACACATTGACCAATAAGGTGTTGTTGCTAACGTCCAGCAGACCAATAGAAATGCCTCATTGCTCCGCCCTCAGAAATATAGAAAATTTCATCCATGAAGCACAATTTGTATATAAAGCAGTTGATCAAATGTATAAAACCAAGTTTGAAAATGAGAAAGTAAAGAAAAAAATTCAACAAACTTAAATTAGAAAACAAAATTATGAAATACGGGATATTGCAAAATCAAAAACACAAACTGTTTAAAAGGTTTTAAATATTTTTTTTCAAATTCCACTCACTGATTTCCACTTGATTGACTGAGCTTGAGGTGTTTAGTAAATCAGAATGGACATCATGGTATGTGGTGTGTAAACTGGTAAGGAAGTTAACTGAAAGACATAAGGTGTTTTTTATGAATTATTGCTTTATGTCTAACATGAATAAATTCCTCTCCTTGCAGATTTATATCAAATTCTGAAAACCATGCAATTTTTATTTACCTCACAGTTAATTCATATATCCTGATGTGCAACTATGACATCAGTTCTCTTAAACTTGTAGGTTTGTGATTACAGAGTGAATGAAGGTGAAAAGTTACAGAAGAGAGAATAGTTTTCCTTGAACCAGTATTAATGGACCCTTTATCTGAAAGTTATCTTCATATTCAGGTGTTCGTGCAAGTGACTTTCACATTTCATTTGCCCAGAAACAATTTTTACTTGCCCAGTATAATGTTTGATAAATATAGATCCAAATATTAATTTTTGTATATATATCAATGAAACATGTTTGTTTTAAATGTTTTTTGATAATAAACTCAAGCCTACATTACCGTGTTAACATGCTTTTCAATCATTCCTGCACATTCTTTTCAAACTAAACTTTGCTTTAAACTGTTGTGTGCTTGGAAAAATATAAATTGTAATGTTAAAAACTTAAGATAAATTACAAGACAGAAGTCATTGACACAAATAAATAACTTTAATTTTAGAGTCACGGTATGTTTATACAAGATGATACTATTAATGTAATGTGACTTTTCTAGAGAATCATTATACATACCTTTTTTATACAGGGTTTCTTACATCATTTCAGAATTCCCTGACTTTTAACTGACTCAGGATTAGTTTTCCCTGACAAAATAAATGCAGGAACAAGACAATAATAATAACATAACAGGTCACCAATTTAACATGTTTAGCTCTATAACATTTAAATGCACCTCTCCAATGTCTGAGAAAAAAAAATTTAATGAAAATTTTTTAATGTATGACCTGCATCACTGTACAGAAGACTGCCATATGATAGCCATATTTACACTGTGCAAATGGCATACAGTTATGCCAATTTTCCTAGTCCCTGACAAATAATTTTCAATCTAGGGTTATCTGGGTGGTGGGTGAAATGAGTGGAGGGTAAAATAGCCTTTTTGTTGTTTTTTAGCCTGCCAAGTCGAAAAAAATGTGTCTGATTCGCGCCGGACAAAAATCCCCGGACAAAAATCACGCTATCTCGCTGAAAATTACGCGGCTTTTTCAAATCACACGGCTTTTACAAATCACGCAAGAAAGTGTAAAAAACAACAAAAATGGCGCCCGCAATGCTTCTGGGTCGTTTTCAGCGAATGTTGGTGATTTTAAAGTAATTTTCAGTGAGAAATATTTCTTTTTTTTTTATCATTGCCGGCGGGCAAATGCAATGAACTTTGTACTCTCCCGACAATAAAAACTACTTGCCCCGGGCGATCGGGAAATGGTTAACCTCGAGCCCTGTTCATATTAATGAAGAACATAATTCTGCAACGTTGACAGCCTCTGGAGATTTCTAATGCTTACTATCAGAGAATAATTGTTGCTAAATCAGGTTAAAATAACAGAGGGGGAGGTCTCAGAGACCCCACTTAAACTTCTGCAGTCTTAAGGCGGGTCACACTGGTTGCGTATGACTTTTTAAGCTCTGATCTGATTTTTTTTCACTCACACTGACTGCATATACAGGCTCAGGCGCAGGGTGAGCAGATCTGTGCAGATTTATTTCACTTCTGTCTCTGTGCCATACACATATTAAAACATTTCCCCACATTTGAGTTGGACAGATGATGAAAAGTTATTAAAATGTATAAATAAAAAAACAGCGGTGCAGCTATGAAGCAAAGCCCCACTTAATGAGTCCGTGCACCATCTAAAACCAGAACAGATAGAGAATTTTTACAGGTATATATAAAAAACAAAATGGGAACTATGTTTAAAGAAAAGGAAAATGCAACAGTAAAGGCTGTGGGACAGTTTATATGCTGGCTGGGGTAGAATGAGGTGATTCTCAGAGGGAGATCTGTGAAGTTGGTCTGATTTTTTCTATTTCTTTATTTTATTCTTAAAGAGTGAATAATGATGAAACTTTGCTTAGCTGCACTGTCTGCTTCTTGTTTTTTTTCTTTTTTGTGAGAATAAAAGAAAATAAAAAAAATTTTTTGTTGAAGATGTTAAGTCATGGCCAAGAAAAAAATTCTGCCTATGTCACCAGAGGGGTTCTGTAGGCCAGTAACACATTCAGAGCTAATTTAGTCTCTATAATAGACATGGCTACAGCTTGATGCTAATGTGTTTGATAGCTGTCAGAAATCTGAGAAAAAAGTCAGAATTCTGATTTAAAAATAAGTTAGAATTCTGACTTTTTTTCCCATATTGAACAGAAATAATATTTAAAAATCAGTTCACTTCTTTTTTCAGTGGCCCTAATCCTCTTCTGTAGAAGAACCAGATCAGAAAGAATAGTAAAAGCATGAAAATACCATAGATGGGAATCAAAAGCAAAATAGAGTTAGAATAAACCAGAGTGATGAAATAAGGGTCCCTATGTTCTCCAGCAGTCTAAGCCTATAGCAGCATAACTATAGAGATAGCTCAGGATAACCTGAGCCACTCTAACTATAAGCTTTATCAAAAAGGAAAGTTTTAAGCCTAGCCTTAAAAGTAGACAGGGTGTCTGCCTCATGGACTAAAACTGGTAGTTGGTTCCACAGGAGAGGAGCCTGATAAGTAAAAACTCTGCCTCCCATTCTATTTTTAGAAATTCTAGGAGCCACTAGTAAACCCGTATATTGAGAGCGAAGTGCTCTTTTAGGAACATAAGGAACAATCAGATCTCTGATATCAGATGGAGCTTGGCCATTTAAGGCTTTATATGTGAGAAGGAGGATTTTAAATTCTATTCTTGATTTAACAGGAAGCCAATGAAGAG